GTAAGAGATGGTGTTAAATATGTTGACAAAATATAGAATTTTACGCACTTAAAGTAAACAAAAACTGCCTGAGGGGGATGGGCACAAAAGCCCAAGATCAAATGCAGGCCCTTTACCATTTACCATACCACTGCATGTGCTGAGTGCCACAAGGAATAGGGCCCACCATGGCCGTTTGTGGTGGTGGGGCCCGTACTTGTTTTCCCATGTGGGCCCCATTTAGATTTAGTTAAAGGCAACCTACAGATGAATCTGCCTAAATCCATCCCATGCTGATTCTTTGTGGGGTGCCCTGGACCAGCCCACTGGATGTTGGCACTTTATCTATTTATTAACTTATATTATGTGGGCACCCCACAGTGGGTTCTGCCCCAAAAAACTAGCCACAGTGGCCCTTTGAGTTTCAGCCCATGTGGGAAATTCAGTGGTCCGCCCACATTTGTGAGAGTTTCACATGATTAGTGTACAATGGTCATCACCTTGTCCTTGAAAAAAAAAAATCAATGTTTGACTAAAGAAAAAAAAACTACATTTAGTCAAAATCGAGTGATAATGTTTTGGACTAGAATTCACACTCAATTTGAAAAATCTTTTCTAATTCATATAAAATGCTGTCCAGAAAATACTATTTGAAATGTTTATTGTGGATATTTCATTTTAAAATACATAACAGCAGAGTTTTCTAGTAAAAGGTGGGCTGCATGGTGGCGCAGTGGTTAGCACTGTTCCCTCACAGCATGAAGGTTGCAGGTTCGAAACTGGGCTGCGGCCTTTCTGCGTGGAGTTACGTGTTCTCCCCGTGCATGCGTGGGTTTCCTCCGGGTACTCTGGTTTCCCCCACAGATCACAACATGCCCTATAGATTATAAATTGTAAGTCGCTTTGGATAAAAGCATCTGCCAAATAAACAAACATAAAAAGTTCCTTTCTCTTGTTTCTAAAGCTGAACCTCTGACATAACCAAAGGGAGTTAGAAGCTAGGCTGCCTCAGCTCAGTGTGGAGAGTGGCTAGTTTTAGAGAAGAGAGGTCATGTTATCCAGTCAGTGTGTGTGTTTACTAGTGCTGGATTGTGTTCATGTTGATAAACTATAGTGTGTGAAGGCTGTACCAACTCCAGCCTGTCTGGACATCGAGTCCACAGGTTTCCAGATAAGAGAAACAACGCCTCTATCTCCGTGCCTGAGGGTGTTTTGTACAGCTGAAAAGGCGGACTTCTGTGGCCCACATCGGTCGGTACCGGTCCGGGACAGGGAGGTCCGCGCTCGGCTCCGGAGACCCGTGGTGGGGTTTAAAACATTAAATACTGATTTCTGTCACTTGTGCTCATGATCTTGTTCTAAGACAATAATCTAACAATTGATGCATTAAGATGTGGACATTAACGATTATGAATCCTTGAAGAAGCACACCATACTCGATTGTGGCTAGCTGCTAGCATTAGCCACTAGCTTGCTTAATCTCTAAGCGGTCATTAAGTGTCTTGCCACGTGTCTGCTCGATCACAGAACGTCTTGGTCAATGTTCTGCTCTAAACTTTGCATTTAGCTTTGTGACTTTTATTATTTTGAGATGGTTGTGTGTGTTTTAGCGAGCCTTTTCACCACGGCTGCTGACCGGAGTGTTGCTTATGCCACCTCCCTGCAATCAGGAAACAGCTACGGAGAGCAGTGAGGGACAAATAGTGAGTAAAGTAGGGAGTGTAATGCTGACTAGAGAATGCATGAGATGATGCATTGATGCTAAATTCAAGATGCAGGGAGAGGGGAGACGAAGATCTGTATCACCAAAAGAAGTCCCAGGAGAAGGGAGGAGTCAAAGGCCCCACCTGACATACACAGTCATACACAAACACAGTCACACACTCCCTCCCTCATGCTCACACATACACATACAACCAAAGACTTACAAAAATGCATGCCGGACACCCACTCATGCTCCCCATACACACCCTATTCACTCTGGTCCCGGTACTGCTGCACATGGGGTACAACCACTACCGGTTCCAAGAGTTTGACCCTTTCTGCTGGGGTGCTGATGAGCAGGCTCCCTCGCCCAACGTTGAGCACAGCAACCCACTACCCCAGACCCCAACTGGATGGCCAGATCTCCCTCCTAGCCTCCAGCCCCAGGAAGCCAAGTGACAACAGAGGTGTGCTAAGACCCCCTAGTCTCCTTCTGCCTGCTCCAATATGGTGTTAGTGAGTGTTGATGAGGTGTATTCCGTGGCTGTGGTGAGCGGGCAGTGCGGGCATTGTCTGGCCTATGCCAGCTGATGCCACCGTACCACCCCACTTGCACCCACAGCCCTCGGTGTCTAAGTGCAGTTTAAAATTGGAAGTGGGCACCGGCACTCGGGATGAGGCTGAGAAATCCCCCTGCCAAGTGCCGTTGAATGTGCTCACTCCCAAGGCCCTAAGTGTGTGTTTGCGTGGAATGTCGTTGGTGGAAGTGTTTAAGGTGCAAATAAAATTGGGGGGCAGGTTGCCACAGGAATGCGGAAATGGGGTCCATGCCCGCACTCCCTGACTGTCCACCCCCCAAGGTCCTATGTGCATGTTTATGTGATGATGTGAGGGAGCAGGAGGAGAAAAATATGCGGGGATGGGGAGGAATGGCTGTTTGGGCTTAGAAGATTCACCTTTCAACATAATGATCTAAAGCACACAGATGACATGGGGGCTGAAGAAGAAAAAAGTGAACACCCTAATGTGACCTGCATCCTGTTGAAAATCTATGAAGAGATTTGAAAATTGCAGTTCACCGAAACAGTGTAGAACATAAGAATGTGAACACCCTGTGATTTTACTCCCACTCCCACTAAGAAAACATGGAGAGGTCTGAAATTCACATTGTAGGTGCCTTCCCACTGTGAGAGACAGCATTTTAAAAAATTCAGGACATCGTATAAGAACTTATTTGTATTGCACTGCTGCAGATAAGTATTTAAACAACTAAAATAATTTGTGCTTATTTTTGGCAAAGATGTCAAATACGGATGTCAAAGGTTTCCTGTAGTTCTTGACCAAATTTGCACATTAACAGGGATTTTGGCCCACTCCTCCAAACAGATCTCCTCTAGATTTGTGTAACGTACCTAAAGGGTCAACTTTCACCATGCAACTGACCACAGGATAACCTTCCATCTACAGGCATAAACCCAATATCTATCAGGCCTCCAAATCCAGAAAGTTCTGGTCAGTGCTTGTTTGCATACAAGAAGACATAAACTGTCAAGGTCTCCAGCAAAGGTCCTGCACTCTCTGTGTGAAAGCCAGACTGCTGCATTCCTCACTATCTACTTGAAGCTCCTACAGGACTTTACAGTTGTAAGTTACAGTTATCATATGTGTTGAATGAACAAGATGTTTAAATTAAATGTTTGAATAATCTGTGCTTGAATCAATGAATTTAAAATGAATAGTGTTCTTACAATGATCCATTTATTTCACAAATCAGTATGTGTTTGATTTAACAAGTTAATCATTGTTTATAAGATACGTATTAAGGTTAATATTCACCTCACATAAGAGTATTAAACATTCTCATTCATAGAGTGTTAAAACATCTTTGTATATGAAGAAGCACGTGATCTGGTCGGTAACAAGATGGCACCTGTGCTTGGCTTAGCCGCGGTCACCGGCCACTTTTTCAAGCTTTTCTCCACTAACCTCCTCTTTGCCACCTTGCTCCTGTCTGCAGTCCTCTTCAGTAGTGTCCCTACTACCGTCTCCTATGATCGCCAGACTCTTTTGTCCTTCAGTTCGTTCACGATCGCCCAAGATGCACCGAGGACGTACCTCCCTGTTTGTTTATCTGAGTGGCTATTACGTCCTTCTGCTTGCTAGGAGAGATGTTGTTGAGGGAGCAATAAGGTGTGAGTGTGGGAGGAATAATAACAAAGTGTAAGTGTCCAAAAGAAAGGATTTTATAAAAAAAAACACAGGAGTTCACGGATGGAAAAAACGTCTAACAAAAGGAGCCAAGCCAAAAAGGGCTGGAAAGAGGGAAACTAATTAACTGAAATACTCTTATTTTTGTAATTCTAAATAAAACATGAGTCATCCTGAAAAGCAGTGACGCTCGGGCAAAGTCGAAGTCAAGAGCCGGTCTAGGGTCAATCCAAAAGTCAATCCGAATCTAGAGTATGCTAACGAACGAAGCTAAACACAAGGGCACCTCGAGGAGAAGAGAAAAGAGTGAACACCTCCGTGTCCACACTTCCCTGTACCTTCTCGTAGACTGAGGGCACCTAAAAACAAAAACCTACAAGGGAGCCTCATTATTAAAACTGCGGGACAAAGCGGTCATGATGAGGATGACAGAGCCCTTCTTGTGGCGAATCTCCAGGTTGATTTCCTGGAGCAGGAGGGCCCAACACATCAGCCGCTGGCCAGTCTAGAGGGCTGTGTCTGAAAGAAATAACATAAGTCAACGAACGGGTTACAACTCAGACAGAGAAAAATAGAGCAGAACTTTATCAAAGGGCTAGTTTCCCTGTTTCGAAGGTCGGACAGTCCACTTGTGCACAATTGAATCTCCGAGATGAAATAGCAAACTGGAAGACCAGGATCGGTGTCATCCTCCTGGGCGAGGACAGCTCCAGCCCCTGCTTGGCTGGCGTTGACGTCCAGCTTGAAAGATCGAGTGAGATCTGGAGCAACTTGAACAGGAGCACACACAGTAAGATTTGCAGGGACACAAAACGCACTTTGGCACTTCGGGGTCCAAGCGAAACGGACACGAAACCTGCATTTTATCGAACGTGGGAGCAGCGTCACCGTGAGCAAAACGAGACATCTGATTTTTGTCCATTTTCTGAGCATCACCCAACGACGTACATACAATAGGCAAATCCACCTGAGTTCCTCTAGAGGTCGGGTTAGGTGTTTTTACAGCCAGACCTGTCTCTGTAACATCAGGCAACATTTTAAACACCGAGTGGTTAAGCAAGACTTCCGGGTCCTTTTTAAGCTGAGCGCGAGTCAACACACAAGCAGGT